AAGTTACAAGAGTTTGTCTGCATTAATGTAAGCAGATTGGAGGTAGGGTGTTGCCTACTTGTGTTCACTGGGATGTCACATAAAAAGCACTTAATGTATATGTTGGATGAATGGATGAGTGTTTTGTTGATGAGAGAAGGGAAGGCTGACTGTACCAGACAATTGGTCGGGAGATGTACAATTCTATGGAGAACAGAGGGCTTATCACATAATGCCAGTGGGACATTATCCGGGAAGAGGCCTGGCCTGCTATGTGAGAAGGTGGAATCAGTCCTTTCTCCTGGCTTTCATAACAGAACACTGATCATCTCTCCTATTCTAGGGAGAGGAGATCCTACTTGTTGACCCTTTCTGTGACTCAGCCTCTTTGTATGGATTCTGAGAACATCAGAAGTAGAAATGATTCTGTGGCGATACCAGATTCTAAGACTTAATTTTGCAAGGGGTGGCGGAACCTAAAATCCATTGTTGGGAATGTGGAGAACACATTTACATAAAATCATACAAACATGTAAGGGAAGAGTCAGAATTAGAACTGAGATCAACTCCTTCTAGGCTCACCACTCTTTTAGGATACCTATGCATCCCACTCTTCCATATTCTTCGTTCTCTTTCATAAGTCTCCCTAAAATACCTCCTGGAACCTGGAAAGGGACAGTTGTGGAAACTCACCAGTACCTGCTAATTTTAAAAACATGAAGTACTTTTTTAGCACAGACTGAGCAGTCTGTACTGGAGGGAAGGATGGCTCCAGGTCAGGGAGCAGCACCAGGCTGGGTGCTTTCAGGAAGGATTTATCTTCTTTGTTCCTCTGTGCACGTGCAATAGCACGCTCCAGCTGGGAGAACCTGAGGAGAAACAGAGTCCCCAGGGCTGGTATACCTGTGGGCAGGAGTCATTCATTATCTTCACCTGCCCCTCCTTCCACAGGTTCACATGAAACTAAAGAGCCCTGATTTTATAGGGCAAGGTTCATATCTGTAGCAGCAAAAGTGGTCTTTCCTGAATCCACTTTTTCCCTGTTTTATGAAGAAGCCAATTCCTGTAACTTACTTCATTTCCTCCTTCCTTTAGTCCACTACAACAGACCCACCCTTTGCCAGAGGGACTGGATATGATGCTTGAAGATTATCCATATAATATATTGGTTTCTAAATTGTTCACCAACTTGGAAACAGCATTATCACAATTACCCTAAGTTCCACTCATTCCTGCACTCATTTTTGCTCTATTTCTACATTTCCCTTTGCTAGGAAATTTATTTGCCTTTTGTCTCTGCCGGCCACTCTATCTTTGAGCAAAGAGGACAGTCAAATTAAATCTTTTCCAGTGTAATCAAACTCAAATAAATACATGTCTACATAATACAACCTCAAATAGATGGCTGGGCCAGTGTTTCAGGCTTTTCTAAGACTGGACTCAACATCAAATGCACAGGGTATTTCTTCCATATGAACCTCAACAATTATTTTTTTTCCCAAAACTTTTTGCTTTCTTTACTTTTTGACAGCAAGAACCATCATCGTTTAGAAAAAAATACAATTTCACTTCATCTCACATATGTTACTGAACTTGGATTGATGTGGTTTCAGATGTGGATGCTTCTCATGATTGGATTGTGAAACATCAGTGTGTTGAGACAAGTCATTTGGGTCTTCACTCTGAATACATTAGTTTCTATTACTTAAGTGTCCAAATCCACTTCAATCAGTCCAATAGTTTGCTCATTTGTGAACATGCTAGTGGTATAATTTTGTTTGTAAGTGTGCCTTTATGTGACTTCTTGAGAGAGTGAGGGATAACAGAGACAGAGATGGAGAGACAGAGAGATCTGCTACTATGCTATATGGGGGGTGAACTATAAATTAGAATTAAGGGATCCTCTATTGTTATCTAGCAACCCATTCATTCTTCCTTTGAAAATAACCTCCTTTTCTCTCATGCATATATAAGAGGTATATCTGCAACCACGCAAAGCCAAATAAAATCCTGACATTGATAGAAACAAAATCATTCTCTACTTTTTTAGATTATTTAAAGCAATTATTTCAAAAGACAAAAATATCTCTCTGTGGCATTAATCTTAGTCACATTGGATCTCCATTCTGACCAGACACAAATACAAACAGACTTATATGTGGTCCTTACCCAGGGTCCTCGCTGTATCCAGACTCAGCCTCTGTTCTGGCCTCTCACGTATGAAAATGTCTATAAATTCAACTCACTTTTCCCCTGATCCTAGACCCAGATATGATAAACTTCATTTTGTGCTGTGCAATTAATATAGGTCTTCGGGGATGGAAACTTTGTGAGGGAGTATGTTTTGTTTTTCCCCCCTCCCTCTGTGCACCTGCATCTATGTAAGCACTGAGAGTATGGAATAGTTTCAGAACAGTAGTCTCTCCATCTTTGAGAGAAATCCTTTATGAAAATGTTTCTTTTCTTATATGCTACTGACCTAGGATGTAGGGGAACCAATATTTTACCCTTATTCTGTTTTATTCATGGTTTATTGAATTCTAACATCATATGTCTCTTTACTAAGTATTGGGAAACTAGGTTTAAGTTTTTGTTCCTTCTAAGCTTCTTAAAGAAGTTATTCAGAAACCCAACTCTAAAGCTTTTAGAGATTACTTCCTATGCCCTATCATATTCCGACTGCCATATTACTGATTTTCCCTGTCTATATACTCCTCACTCTACTAGAAACTAAGATTCAAGAAACATGTTTTTCAGAAGTTCCTTCCTAAGGCCAATTTCTGCCTCCTCTCTCCTTTATCTTTACAGCTTTGGGATTTGGAGCTTTGGAATAATTATACCAAAGACCTCTTCTTACATCTTGATTTAAGATTTAGCCTGGTCACCAGGAAGATGATGAATATTAGCTTTCCCATAAGGACAGGAAGAGGACAGATGGAGAATATTTTTTGTGCCTACCTGTTTTGGAGAACTCCCAGGAACTGTAGACCTTCCATCATGAAACCTATGTGGATATAGTGAGCACAACAGAGATTGAAATGATCCATCAGTGAAATTTCCCTATGATATCCATTTGAACCCACACTGAGAGGTTCTCTTGGAACCATCATGGACTCAGAACTCTGTGCTGTTTAATAGGAGTCAACTCCACAATGATAAATGGAAATTCCTGGTCAACTAGTTCATTTGGGCATGCTCTCTGAACTCTGTATCCCACCTCTTCGATGTAAGGAAAAATAGAAAGGGAAAGGAGAAACTTTGGGGGTTGAATCATGTGTATCCATTTACAGACTTAATAAAAATATTGTGGACCTAATATCATTTATGTTAGTCTGACACGAGTGGACCCTAAGTTCACCAGACCTATGGGGAAATAGAGATTTCATTTGATGTGTCTTGGATCCCCCCTTAGTTCATGCTCAAGAACACAAGAGAAAGAAAAAACTCTAACTTAAGGAGTTGTGATATTATATTTCAAGGTTATTAGATGATACTACTATTGATATTGTCCATATCTTGGAAGACATTATAAGGAACAATAAAAGAGACACAGATAGTACAATTAATAGACACATGGAGAGATGTGAGTCACAAAATTTAATCCATTAATCAAAATCACATTTTATTAAAAATAGTCCATGTGGTAGGTTCTGTAATACAGTAGCAGGTGAGACTTATGGTATCCTTATTTTCCTGAAGAACACACTGTAGAAACTATGAAAAGAAAAGCAAACATTTTCCACAAATTACAGAGCCAAGCAGAATAAAACAAAACATTAAAAAAATAATCCTTTAGGCTTATCAGATAAAAATACTTTAGTAGCCTGGAAATTGCTATGAAGATAAGATTTCATTATTGTTTACTCCAACTTACACATATATTACAGAAGTTCTGGAAAATTTGCCTTTTTTTATAACAAAAAGTAGATGTGGCAGCAATACAACACTCTGAATGTCAATAAAAATTGTATATATCTATATAAAGGTAAGTAACTAGTCACTGAGTGCATCCTGTGAAATCCTAGCATTTCATACCCTATGTTGTGTTCATAGGAATATTTTTTGATTCAATTTAACTTTAGACATGAATACTAGCTTTTGGGGAGCCATAGAACCAAAAACAATTCCCCTGTGCTTAGTGAATGGCATCAACTTTAAATGATATTTGGGGTCAGAAAAGATTCTTTCTCTTCTACTCACAAACATTTCATATCTCCCATCCATCCCATCCTGACTAAAGGACAGCTGTATACTACCTCTGGTACTGCATACCAGGAACATTCAACTAGTGTTATCTTTGATGCACTTGCAGCTAGTCTTTTAGTACCATTTACTACTTGAAAATACTTAACTCCATAAAGTAGTATCTATGACCATACTCATCAAGAGAGTGATTATCTGGTTTATGAATGATATCTCCATTTTAAAATTATTATTTTCATCATTATTATTTGACAAACGTGGATCAAATATTTAAGTGAACAGATTTTCATAGATATGTTTTCCCTAGAGTCACTGTCTTCAATGGAGAGCAGGAAAAGGCTCATTTCTTCACTTAGTGTATTTTCTACAAAATTATTTGTTAGCCTGAAAATTTCTCTCATTTGGTGAAATGAGGCACCATATGCAAGAAAATTTGATGCATGTATGAAATTAAAAATGTCATTTTCCTGGTTGATACATGCAAGACCTCAGGAAAATGTTGGCCTTTCCTCAAATATTTGTGAGCTGTACTGTAGACTTGGAACCATATATGCATGTTGGTATTAGATGTCATAGATTCACAGAACAGCATGAGTTATATAGGCAAAGAAGTTTCCATCTGAAGAGGATAATTGAGATATGTGTTTAGCTCATGCATACATTATGACATATAGAATCAATAACAAGTAGTCACAATAAGAAGTTCCAAGGACCAGAGAGATTAGTGGTTTCCATTGAAATCCCTTTCCTTATTTGCTCCTGCATAATAGCTTTCAGCTTATCAAGGTTGCTAGAACTATTTCTCAGGGAGCAGTGAGTCAAAGTGTTGCCCTAAAACAAGGCAGAGAGAACAAACGAAGGATACCACTCTGAATCTGTTTGGTTTTAATGCTATAGATAACAGGGTTCATGAGAGGTGGAAAAAGGAAGTAGATGTAGCTCATTGTGATATGGACCACATGAGGAGCATGCTGTCCAAACCTATGAATAAATGTCAGACCAACCACAGTGATATAGAAGACCAAGATGCAACAGATATGGGAGACACGTGTATTTGAGGGCCTTGGCCCTTTCTCTAGAAGCAATGCCCATGACAGTCTTGAGAATCAAAATGCAGGAGAAAAAAATCATGAGACAGTCCAATAGGCCCATCGCAAATACAACCACAACTGGATAGAGACGGTTGAAAGTGGTGTCACCACAGGCTAGCTTGATGACATCTTGGTGCAGACAAAATGCATGGGAGAGCACACGAGATCAACAGTAGGGAAACCAGTGCAGGCGAACAATTATTGGCATAATTGACAGACCAGCCCTTGTCAGTACTCCTATCCCAATCTTCATTACCTGGGTGTCAGTAAGGATGGAGGTGTATCTTAAGGGGCTGCGGATGGCAATGAAACGGTCATAGGCCATGGCGAGCAGGACACCTGATTCCACAATAGAAAGAGTATGGATGAAGTAGGCCTGAGAGAAGCAGACCCCATGGCCAATCTCCCTGTGATTCAACCACAGAACACCAAGCACTGTGGGCATTGTGGTCAATGTTATTCCAAGATCTGTTGCTGCCAACATAGCCAAGAAATAGTACATGGGCTCATGGAGGTTATGGTCATCTCTAATGAGAAAGAGAAGGGAGCCATTGCCAAGAAGTATAGAGATGTAGGCTACCAATAATGGGATGGAGATCCAGTGATGTGACTTCTCCATACCTGGGAAACCCGTAAGCAGGAAGGCAGAGGTGGTGGTATTGAGACACACTGTTAATATTGCAAAGAGGGAGTGGTCCTTTTAGTAAAGTAACAGAAACTAGTTCTTAAAAGTTGCCCATTGAGAACATTACCTGTTCTTAATATACTCACATGTCCTGACTTCTAGCAACAGCAAGGAAAGTAATTTAGTCATTCCTTGCAGATTGCAAGGTATGGGAGCATAGAATATGTAAAGAACAACTCTACCTGTTATTCAGGACCCACTATATGTGGAGAATACACTGAGGATACAGATACGTGTGCAGAATAGATCTTGGTCATAGCCTTATAAATCAAATAATCCAAAAAAAATGAAAGAAAAAGCACTATAATTCAGTGATGCTATAATATTGTTGGAACTTGAAGGATATTTTTCATGGTGCATCCTATCTTGCCTGTTGGTTTTGATGATGGGTGTGAAGGTTTACCAGAGTATATGAGACCTAGAATACTAAAAACATGCCAATAGTGCTGGAAGAGCAGGCATGAACATCCTGTGATAAAATAATATTAAAGAAAAAAATAAATATATAAACAAATAAGTAAAACAGTTAGTTTTATGGACTATTAAAGGTCTAAAGATTTTGGGAAGACTACATAATGACATACACTGATCATGTGTTTATAGCTCCAAAACTAACTCTTTCATTGTCTAATATTGTAATACTGTAGTTATTAATGTACTATTTAAAAAATTTCAAAATTCAACAACATACATATAAAAATGATTAATTAATGGAGATTTTATGATAATCACTTGAAGGCACTATTTAGTACCAGCATTAGTCAAAGTACCTATTTGGACAAGGAAAAATAGAAAGGCAAGCAAGAGGGAGTATTTTTTAAAGTTATGGTGTCTGATGGGATTTAGCAAAACTGAGATACTCTGTGACTCAGAATTTTAAAGTTTCATCTGGCACAGGCTGTCATCTTCTGGAAATAGTATATATGTGGCATCAACCCTAGAAAATGTGACCACTTTCTTTTATGGTTGGTGTGGACAGTATGTCTCACACATGATGAAAAGAATATCTCTACAGATTCATGTATGCCTCACTTAGCACCCTTTTGCTCAGAAAAAAAATGGATTCAAGATAACTGGGCTTTAATCTTCATAAAAATTGGTCAAAGTTCCAGCTCTGCTACTTTTTAACAATAGCAAACTTGGGATAGCCCAATCATCTTGATATTTGATGCCATCAGCTTAAAGGGTAATAGTGATTTCTATCTTACATAGTCATATATTTGACACAGGCATGAGGATTAAATAGAATTGCTAATGGGCAATTTTTTCTTTGCTTCTGAGTTTTTCTTGTTGTTAAAAGAAATTGCAGTGGGCACATATCTGGACTCGTTACTCTGAGATATATCAAGTTATCTCATTTTCTTTGGATGCTTATGAAATAGATATAAAATAATGAGGGGATTTTGATTGTAATGGAAGTATTAAATTGGATTTCATCTGAGAAGCAGATGATGTGTCTGCAGGCAAAAGAAAAGGAGACCGCTGCTATGGGAACTTCTGACTTAGCCACACAGGACACTACACTGACCCTGTAACATGTAAACTTAGGAACATTGGGGAAAAGCAACTGTTTTCAAGGGATGAGAAAAGGAGGGAAACTACCTCCTACCTATCAGTGAAATACTAAGAAAATCCTCAATTTATGTAGAGTTAAAGATACATGAGTGGCAAATAGAAATTGTATATTTCTCAGGTGCACAATGTCATGTTTTAATAAAATTATATACTGTGACGTGAGTCACAATAAAGCTGATTAATATATCTACTACCTCACATGGTTATTCCTTTTTTGTAGTGAAAATATATAAAATCTTCAAGTACACCTTACTAAAACTGGGGGGATTATACAAAACATTAATCTAGGTAATTATTTTGCATTAAAAACAAATATACATGTAACAGACAAATAAAAAGAAAACAAAATAAATAAGAAAGGGGAAACTAGAAAGAGAAGATGATATTGAGAAACAAATTTATGTAATAAATAACTGTTGAGTGTTCAACATATATCAATGCACTGAAGCATTACATACTCTCATTTTATTTCAGAAAACCCTTAAGATAATCTATTTCTGCTATTTTATGTATTCACACTGGTTATGAATGAAGGAGATACAAACATCAAATGTCAGAGTACTTTTTAAAATCCAAAGTGGAGTAGGAAGACTTCAAACATGAATGGAACTGGTAGGAATATGACCTCCTTGCTCTCTCTCTTCTGCTTGGTACAGAAATACAGTATTTTTACTTTGCTTTAATGAGAGCTGTCTCTATGGCATATGAGCTTATCTGTGAAGTTGGGAAAGATTAAATTCCAAGACATTTGCCTCATCCCATGGCCTCTAATTAAAGTGGGCTTTTTTCATTAATGAGAAGCTAATTCCAAAAGTCTCCAACCTTGCCATATAAATGAGTTCTCCACACAGGTACAAGGGAACCCTCTTAGACTTTGACTTCTGGCATATTTTCTTGCCTTCCATTGGACTGTTTTCCTTCACTTCATCCTAACATTATCTCATTTATCACAAGCACTAAATCTGGAAAGCCAAGCCTGTGATCTACACTTAGCTTATTTTATCTATATAAATTCCCGTGGCTCCATTTTCAATACTTCATTATTGTCACAGTACCCAGCATATGATTTGTATTGTATTTCAGATTCATTAACTGATTGGCTTTCCTGTACATACAAACTGATCCTCTGACCATCTTAGGACCCTAGTGTCAAGCAGGTTTTCCAATCATTGAAGCACATTAATAGACTCACTCTAAACATAGAGTTATGAATCCCCAGAACCTGGAAATGCTCTGAGGGTCTTTTTTAAGAATATGGAATAAAATCTGTATCTTATTGTCAGTTCAGAAGTTATTGAATGCTTATTTCACACTCCGAATTTTTCCAGGTACTGAAGATGCATATCTATTTGACCCACTATTCCTGATCTAGAGGCACATACCTCCCAGACTCCAGTGTTAATCATAACTTGGTTTATTAGTCTCATGAGCAGGTAGTGACTTTCCCCAGAAAGTGTTTCAACTCAATGTGATTACAGAACTGGGCGTCCTGAAGTATTTAGAAAACATTCTATCCTAGAAACTAATCTGAAATTCTAGGGAAGTGATTTTTATAGAGGAAATCACAGCATTGCAATGGAGTTCAGAAAAGTTAAAATTTCAGACAGGAGGAGAGAAGGAAGTAGAAACATACAATCCATCCATCGATCCTCTGGTTTACTCCCGCACTCTTGTTTGCGCCTTGTGTTTCAGAATCTACCCTGGGCCTTACTTTGCACATCTGAAGAGATAATGCCTAAAGAAGCGAGTTCTTAGAGTGTCAGCCCATGTCAGCCCATGACTACTACCCATCTCTTCTTGACAGATAATACTATTACTTTATGTTTGCTGAAAAGCCTATTCTTTGACTTGCTCTGCCTTGGTGTCTGCAGTGAGACCTTGGAGAAAAAATTCATTACATACCCTACTGACCTGAAATTTTGTCCTTGCTCATTCTTCAGTGCCACTGTCGTGAATTTCACAGCATTAGCTTTGGTCATAACAAAATCTGAGCATAGATACTGGCTGTTAGGAACTTTTATTTTAGAACCATCTCCTCATAGACAATTCTCAGTTTAGACCACTAACTGCCCCTCCTTCTCTGTCCTCCTTCCATTTCTTTCTGTCTGCTTCCCTCCTGAGACTACTAAATACTCTAAGCCTTGAGGATTTCGAGCTTTTAGCAACATTCCCCAAGACTTCTGTCGGTGCCCTGCCTTTGACTTGAACCCTGTTGCCCAGAAGGTGATTTATTTCTCTCAAGACATGGAAATAAAAGTAGAACAATTTAGGTTTGTGGGTGTGGCTCAAGTGCTACAGTGCTTGCCAACATGCATGAGGCCTTGGGTTCCATCCCACTTCCTGCAGAACAAAAAAAAACCTTAGAAGTTAGAGATTTGAACGGCAACTGAGTTCTTGAGCGAGTACGTTTTCAAGCTCTCTTTAGGAAATACTAATCTGGCCGGGAGTGATAGCTCATGCCTGTAATCCCAGCTACTGAAGAGGGAGAGATCAGAAAGATTCATGTTCAAGGTCAATCCCCTGCATAAACTATGAGACTCTATCTGGGAAATACCTAAATATGTAAAGCAAAAAAAGACTTGAGATTGTGACTCAAGTGCAGAGAGACTTTTTGCCCTTTCAAGTCCCTAAATTAAATACTCTTTACCCCAATTGTCTTGCATTACTCTGTTGGTATATAGGTTAATGCCGTCTCCCTTGCTCATTGAACAAATTAATGTGGATTAAGTCTTGTAAAAAAAACCAGTACTCCCTCCCCCCTCACCAAAATAGTAAGCCCTGTTTTTAAAATGAAGAATATGTGAAAATTAGAGGAAAATGGGACTTCTCTAATTTTTTAAACTGTTTGTTTATTGAACAATTCCCTCCAATCCACTCTCTCTCCTCTAAATACTGCATCTAACGTGAGCATTAATTAATGAGCTCTGCCTCATTCAATTCCAGAAAAAGGACTACCTTTTTTAGTCCTTGGTTTCTCCTTATCCCTTCTCTACATCCTCCATTCCTAGGATGTAGAGCAAGATTAGGAGTAATGTTTTTTAATCAAGTCATGAATAAGCTGTGAAAGACAGGAATCATACCAAGTGTCTAAGACCAGGGGTCTTACTCTTGTGTTTCCCTGTAGGTTACTGACCAGGCAACATACATATGATCAAGAGCATCAATGTAAGAACTTGAGTACTTTGTTCTCATTGTGGCTCTGACTCTTGCTTTTCCACTTTAGGGAAGTTATTTGACTGCATTTGTTCTTCATGTTTTTTTTTATCTCCAAAATATATGCAGCAATTGCCCTCAAATGAAGCTGTCATAACTAATCTAGTGAAGTTAGAATCCCACTCAGTGTATAATAGGCACTTAATGAATGTCAGCTATCATTACCTTTGTTACAATCTGTCAACTTTATTTTAATGATTTGAATTTTACACTATATTTCCATATAGCACAGTGACCTATTTGAGAAAGACTTCATTTTCCATAGTTTTATAGCCACAGATAACCAAATATGAAATCATGGAAGCAATGTCATGTTTCCCAATTTCTGTTACTGGAGAGAAATGCTTTCACGGACTGATTGATGGCCAGCAATTTTCACTTGCTTCTTTCTCATGAATGATCTTCTATATTAGTTGAATAAGGGGGTTTTATTATGACACTTACTTATATGCTTTCAGTGTATCTTAATTAGATTTATCCAGTCTATCATTCTCTTTTATCCCCATACCCATTACTGAGAAAAATTTCAACAGCTTTCATTGTTCAATGGTCAATACTACAAGGTACATTGACCATATTCACCCCCCTTCTACCTCTCTGTTTACCGTGCCATCCCACTGACACCATTTCCCAGAGAATACCTGTTTTACCTTCCTGTCCTTCATTTTCTATGTACATATTGATAGTTCATGGGAGTTTTAGTATTTAGTATTTTAGTATTTTTAGTACTTAGTATTTTAGTTTTTGGTATTTCACACATATGTATATCACATTTGGTTCAAATTAACCCCTACTCACAAAGAGGTTTTTGATTTACATTGGCTCTTTGTTGTAGACATCTGTATATATCTGCTAAAACATATGCAGATGAAAACACACATTCCTTTTCTTGTTAAGCAAATTAGACTTAATTTACTCTAGTCATTAATTAAATGAATTTAACTATTTATATATGAATACACTGAGGAATAACAGTATTGTGAAGGTATATTATAGGAAGGTCATCAATAAGCATTTTTTAAATATGGAAGCTGATTTTCATAAAGAAATATGAACAATTCATGGATGCCTAGCTCAATAAGTTTGTGGCACAACATGTTTACATAACATATTTTTTGCACAAATAATTGCCATTCAAATAAGAAATAGGACTTTACTAGTACCTGAAAATCCCATTTGACTAATACCAGGTCCACCTTTCAGATGAGTTTTAGCCAGATCTGATTTTTTACAGTGAAACAAAAATCATGTGTGTGTGTTCAGATCAAAATCATTACTAAATTTGTGAAAGACATCCATGTGTTCTCTTGTAACAGTAGTATGTTTATTTCCATCCCTACACAGTATTCACAATGAATGTCTGTAACCCACATTTATTCTCTTGTAGGTAACAGTTACCACTGGGGATTTTATAAATGGTTTCACTTTGAAATTTTCAATATATGTTTGTTTGATTGTTTCTGTACACATAGATAAGATTTCTGTTGGACCTAATTATAGGACTGTAACACCTTGGGTAAACATAAATTCATCTCAGGTAAATAATAGCAAATGATTTTTTACAGTGATTATATCATCATCTATATCACTGCCTAGCTCATGAGAATCTCAGTTGCTTCACCTCCTAAACAACAGTAAGTGATTTCACGTATTTGAAAAGCCATTCTGATGGGCACATTATGGTATTTTATTACAGTTTTAATTTTCTCTTTCCAGATTACTAATTATGTTCCCCACATTTATTAACCTCTTTTGTGACATACCTCTTACAGCCTTTAGTCTATTAAAATGTAGGTTATTACAGTCTCATTGAATAAATTCTCATTGCTTATAAATTATTGAAGTCACTCTTATTTCAGATATAGGTGTAACAATTACATTTACTACTTATACCTGACTTTATTTTCTTAATAATAATTATCCCCAAAAAAATGTTTTTAAACTTAATTCAGATTAATTTGTTTCTCATTTTGCATACTAGTTAAAATATTAAATACAATATCAATGAATAAAAATACCTCTGTTGTCTTATAGATTCATTATCTTTAAGAGATTAATATTCATTTTGTATTTATCTTGTACCACAAATTGGATTTTGCCTATGGTGTAGAGCTGGGATAAACAATCATTTTCATTTCCAGATTAATTTTGTGCTTAGATTAATGTGCATCCTCTTCTGATTCCAGAGGAACCCTGGAGATTATAAACTATTTGGGTGTAGCACCCTTTCATACAGTCAACACAAACAGTCATGATAACACTTGTGGAATAACATATTTTATCCCTTGTCACACCCTATCCAGAACATTTGAATTCTTGCTAAGCAACTAAATTTATACATTGACAGAGGACTAAGACATCTGATATCTGTGTCCCTGTCACAGGTAGAGTTCTATAGAAACAGATGCTGAGACAGCGTTTGAGGTAAAATATGTTTATTAGAGGTCAACACCTTTGAAAGAGAGGATAACAGATCTGATCACAGGAAGAAATGAAACAGAGATAAAGTCTGGGAAAGTCTTGGCCAATTTGACCAGAAGCTCTGGAGCAAGTACTACCTATCCAACTGTTTTACCTCATATTGGGTTGAAATGGCCAGAACATTAAGACACTTCTCACTTAGAGGTGAGCTGCCTCAGGGAAGTCACAGCATTGGGCTAAATGGCTATCTGTAGCTGAGGGAGATCCTGTATGAGCTGAGTGCTTAAGACTATCTGCTGACCACACTTTCAGAGATGAGAAAATGTCTTTCCTTGAAGGAAATCTGGACAACATATCTTGATGTTTACAGTAGCATCCTGTTTATACCTGCATTTGGAGGCTCTTGGCTAAGGCCATTTGTATTCATATCCCTAATCGAATTTCACTTCCCACCTCTCACAGACCAATAAATGATTAAAACATCAGATATTGAAATAATATCTGTAAAGTTGCCCTGCTTTTCTACAACCTGTGTGATCCCTAATTTTTTGAGGAACTTATGCCTATAGAAGGTCACGACAGTTTCTATAGTAAACAAACACAATCCATTATTTTAAAAGGTATTTGTATTCTTAATCCTTTATTTTGAAATAATTATAGATTTATAAGTAGGTGCAAAAATATACATTGGTACTTCTGCACTGTTTACCCAGGTTTCCCCATTGTTAACAACTGAAATAAGTATAGTAAAATGTCAAAACAGTAAATTGACATTGATATGGCTCCTGGAGTTTATTTAAATTTCAACAGTTTTACATGCACCCATTTTGTGGATTTGATGTCAATCTAAAACTCTTCACTTAGATCTAGGTCTTGAAGATGTACCTTTATATTTTTCTAGAAGTTTTAGAGTTTTACATTTTAAAGTTGAAGATACACATTGATTTTCAGTTAACTGTGTGTAAGGTGTGAGGTTTCAGTTGAGCATCTTTTAGTTGAGGAATACTCCACATTCCTCACAGGGGAGTGCATACTGCAGCACTATTTGTGTAAAGGTCTTCCTTCATCTACTGAGTTGCTTTTGAACCTTTCAAAACTCATCTAGACATATTTCTGTGGATCGATTTCTAGGGACTTTTTCTGTTACATTGATATTTGTACCTACCTCTTCAATAATACCACACAATCTTGATTGTTGTAGTTATAGAATAAAGCAATATATTCTCCAATTAATTTTTTCAGACAATTTTAAACTATTTTAGCGCCTTTGTATTTATGTAAGTTTTAGAATAAACCTTTATAGGTCTGTGAGAAAAGTTTGCTGGTATTTTGGCAGTAATTGCAAAAATCCTATAGGCCATTTTGAGGAAAATTGAAATCTTTACTATTTTGAGTCCTTCATTTTATAAAATCGCATTTGCCTCTACTATTTAGAGACTGGTATTTATATATTGGGAGATAGTATTGGGGTTTTGAATTCAGAAACACATGCTTTTCTTTGATATTTTCATAAGCATTTTGTAATAACTATGTTTTAATTGTACATATTTTAATTAAGTTCATATCTACTATGCATTCAGTATTACTGTGTCCATGCTTACACTGCTATTGTGTTAGTTTTTACAGCTAACATAGCAAAAGTAGCATACACTGTGTGACTTGAACAACATTTATTTTCTTATACTTCTGGAGGCTGGAAGACAAGGGTCAACAGGTTGTCAGAGTTAGCTCCTTCTGAGCCTCTCATCTAAACTTGCATCTATTCCTTATGTTTCTGTACAATATCGCTTCTTTATCTATCTCTTTCCAAATTTCCTCTATCTATGAGTATACCAACCATAATTCATTAGGGCTCACCCTCAAATGATCGTTTAAACTAAATAACCACTTTAAAGTCCTAAGTCTAATTATAGTCATGTTTTGAAGGAGTTAGAGTTAAGATGTCAATGTATAAATTTTGTGTATATACGCAACTCAGCCCATAAGAGTTAGTGACCAGGTGATGGTTCCAGAGAGAATTGTCTGGGTCACTTATTTATATTTGGCATTGCCTTTATCAAAACTAGCATAGTAACAAGTGAAGCATTCTTTAGATAAATTTGTTTTACTGGTGAGAAAAGTTTTATTTTTACCAGGCAGGGTAGTTCCTGTGAGGAATGTAGAAGAAATAAAAAAATCATCTCTTAAACTAACGTTTGTTGGGTAAAGCATGGTTTGCTGCATCCTTAGGAAAAAGGAAGCTTCTGGCAAGGTGAACTTATGAAGGATATAATAATGCCTGTATGCTGAGACCTCATGCTATGTAGCAGGGAAGTCTGTACAGATTTTATTGTATCTATTCTGCCCCACCTAGTTTTAGGTGAACCCTGAAGCTGGTTCTGAGATAAATTCAGCAGAAAATGTAATTAGAATTCAAAAGACTTAGCCAAAGAAGGTGTATAAGTTTCTCCTGAGAGCAACTGGGAAGTTTTTAGCCTGTGAAGTATATGAGAAGGGTAAATGGCCTCCCACAGGTGGTACAAGTTTCCCCTGGGAAAACAAACATAAGTTCTCTGACTCCTCATACCTAAAGCCTCTACATGTGGTTCAGTTAGCCTCATACCTTATTTGAAGAATTTGATTTCAGAGCTTATGGAGATTAATTTATTGTTCTATCTCTTTTAAGGGGGGAGTTAAAAAGAATATTTCTTTAGCTCCCAATTCTATAAAAGGGAGATATCTTGGGAGATCCTGCCTTCATTACTTCCTCAGGGCTGGGCCTTTTAGAGAAGGATCCATATGGGTTCATTCTTCAGGCTGGACACAGCAATCCTGCTCCCACCACTATGAAACATGCTATGGTACATGTGATTATGAGGAAGTCCTCAGCATATGCAGAATGAGGGCACTAGGAGACCTCTCTGTAAGTGGACCAGAAAAAAATCAATATTTTGAAATCAAGGAGAAGAGGGCCCAGAAAAAGCCTGGTCAGGAGAATGTCAGTTTTACAGGAAAGAAAATAAGAGGGTGTATTTAGGAAGGACCAATAAGTTATCTCTAATTTTGCAAAGAGCTCTATGTAATAGAGTATGAGAAAGAACCAAAGATTAAACAATGTGGAAGACTTTCCTAATCATAACAAAAATAGATCCAGAGTAGCAGTTGGAATAAAATCTGATTCTAGTGTGCTCTAGGGTCAAGGTGTAGAGTGAGAAAACAGATGGACAAGAGCAATTTAGTAGTATTCCATGTAATGCAGAAGGCCATGTCATGGTTCATGTAATCAAAATGTGACCAAGCCCTTTCTCAGCTTACATACTCAAAGTTTAATACACCTAAATGCTAGTGAACATCTCTACATTTAGCTACTCAAGCACAGAACAGAACTATGAAGATACATGAGTTCAAGAAGGATAAAATTTGGATAGGTTAACAGGAATTATGTTTAGGGCACATGCAAAGAACTGCTTATGATGATATACTATGAAATATAATGAAATTAAAGAGAAAAAAAACAGGATAGTAAGGGATAGTGAAAAGGGATTAGAGTTCTAGATTATAGAATGGAATTGAGCTCATGATTTTAAGTAAATGACAAAATCCTTGAGAGACTGGATTAATAAAAGAATACTGAAATCACTAAGAATTATATCTGACTCAGTATCAGAAAGAGAAAAGCAAATCAATGCTAAAACTTTCAGTGAGCAAAGTGACATGAGTGGGAAGGTTGATGGTGGACACAGCAAGGAGGGATAGTGGCTATAATGTATGAGATCATGTGTTAAAATAACATGGGAGGAGATGGTAAGAAGGAATATGTCAGGAGGACCAGGACAGCCTTAAATCCTTAAGTAAAAGGGTAAAAGAATTGTTCACATTTATCCTCTCTGCATCTTCACTCCTCACTTCACTACTCAACCAATCACCCTATCACTTTTTTAAAAACACACATACATACATTTAGCTAAAACGATGTTCTTTTGTGGGGGTCCATTTGTTGAAAAATCTTACTCCACCCTTTCAACCTAAGCCAAATACTTTTGTTAGTGAAATGCACTTCTTCTAGGCAACAAATTGTCAAGTCTTGCTTTTAAATCCAGCTTGACAATGTATATCTTTTGATGAGGAAGTTGAGGCCATTAACATTCACTGTTAACATTGAGATGTATATGGTAATTCCTGCCATTTTGTTGCTGAGTGATGTGTGTGAGTGTATATGTGACTGATATCTTGCTACTCTACAATTGGTTGTCTTATCATCTCCTGAGATTTATTTATTCCTATCCTTTCATGGCTATGTTCATCTTCATCTTCTGTGTATAAGATTCTTTTGATCCGGGCGCTGGTGGTTTATGCCTATAACCCTAGCTACTCAGAAGGCAGAGATCAGGAGGATTGCGGAAGCCAGTCCCTGGAAATTAATTCCTCAAGACCCTATCTCAAAAATACCTAACACAAAAAAGGGCTGATGGAGTGGCTCAAGGTGTAGGCCCTGAGTTCAAACCCCAGTACCACAAAAAAAAAAAAAAAGGTTCTTTTGTATCTTCTGGAGTGCTGGTTTAGTGGTCATTAATTGTTTAAGTTTCTGTTTATCATGGGAAGTTTTTATTTCCCCTTTGATTATGAATGATAGCTTTACTGGGTAGAGTTATCTAGGCTTGAAAATATTTTCTTTCAATACTTGAAATAACTCATTCCACATCCTTTATGCTTTTAAGTTTTCTGTTGAGAAATCTGCTGTTATTATGATGAATTTACTTTTATAGGTAATCAGACATTACTCCTTTGCAGATTTCAATATTCATTCCTTGTTTGCTGTACTTAGTGTTTTAACCATAATATGTCACAGAGAGGTTCTGTTTTGGTCACCATTTCCAAATATCTAAGACCACATTTTTTGAAATTCTGCCTTACTCAATCCTTTCTCTCTTTTTCTATCTAATTTTTAATTGAGTCAATTTTTTTCCTTTACAAAATTTTAAATATCCTTTTACCTAATCCTTTGTCATCATATCTGTGCTCATTGTACTAATTCATAGTTTATTCATAGCATTCTTACTTAATCCTCTGCCACTTAAGTTTCACAGCCTGGCCCTCCATCCCCCACTGCAATATGGGGATATCTGGAAATTGCTAACTCTATGAATTACTGCATTATTTTAGTCCTTTAAGGGCTTCCCTTTTACCACAGTAAAAAGCTATGATAACAGTTCCAATTTACTGAGGCCATATATGATTCAGACTCACTGTATAAAATTTTACATAATCATGTATAATTCTCAGAAATTCCCACTTCACAGAGTAGGAAACTACAAAAGGTCAATAACCTCCAAAGGTCTCATGTTGAGGTCAGAGATAGCATTTAAGCACATGTCTTTCTCATTCCAAGTATTTGGCACTAGTTAAATATAGTAGTCTACAATATGCTATATCTAGCCCAGCATTTCT